TAAAATCTAAAAGAAGTTGGAGGGCCGGGGATTTAGCTCAGCGGTTCGGTGGCCTGCCTTGCAAGCGCAAAGACCCTAGTTCAATTCCCGGTACCAAAAAAAAAAGGAGTTGGAGTGTGACTTCTTCTCTGTCTTGTCACATTATGAGTTTATGATTTCAGATAAAAGAGGGGAAAGGTCCATTAAGAATGCAAAGAACTTGAAAAAAAATCATCAACTTCCTTCTGGGAAAGCAAAGGATTGTTTTCCTGGAGATGATGGATAACAGCATTTCAGCTTTTTTAGTTTTTAATAGACAAAATAGAGGCAAATCATGGAAGAAAAGAGAATATATAAATAAGTAGAACAAGGTGACATTTCAATAAGAGCTTTCTTCATTTTTTTCCTCTCTCTTGCTCTCTCTTTTTGAAATCTTAAACCCTGTTTCTGGCTTGCATTTGGTAGGATTCCTGCTCTGGCTTTTATTGAAAGCAGACTTTATGTGGTCAGAATTCTCCATCTAAAGCTGAACTTTAATAAGCATAAGGATCCTGACAGAGTCTTTCTTGCTGTCTCTCAGGTGACACCCCTGCCAAAGGGATTTCCCTCCCTGTGTGCTGAATTGGCACCGAAACTTGAAAGCTCAGCACAAAACAACCAGCTTTCCTCTTGTACTCTGCACTTTCATTTCTGTTTCAAATTTGGGACTCTGCAAAGCTAGATCGAAATAGATCTGGTTCTAACTTGATACTATTCTAGAAATTCTGAACTGTGCAACTGTCGACCTACAAATCCAACACACTTTCCTTCAACCTGCCATCCAGCATGGGCTGCTACTTCCTGCCAGACTGCCTGCTGCTGAATGTGAGCTGGAAAATACTAAGGGCAACTCCACCCTGCTTAAATAATTCAGTATTCAAAAGTTGATTTTTCTTGAAGAGTACTGACAAGCTAGTTTATCTGAAAATCAAAAGGTAAAGCAGTCAAGCAAGCAGGCAGGACATGCATGTTCACCCCCAGACATTACCACCGGGCTTCTTGGTTCCTTCTCATAGCTAAATAGACAAAACAACAGGTTTCCAGGTTCCTTTTGAGACTCCCGCCTTCCCACTCTCAAAACCTCTACTCCCCGTGGCCTCCATGCCTCCCTGTCACAACAGGCACAATAGCAGACATTTTCCCAGTGAATGAGAGGTTTTCTAAAACAACAAACTTGATCTTTCTGAAAGCTTTTTTTTTAACCATGGAAGGGAAGTTCTTTTGAATAATGTAGTTTAGTGGTTCTAAAGCGGAGAGGGATTTTACTCTCCTAAGGGACAGTGGCAATGTCTAAAGTCATTTTCAGTGGTCATACCATCTAATGGGCAGAGGCCAGGGACACTGCTAAACATCTCATAATGCAGAGGGCAGTCAGTCATCCACAGGAAAACTCAGCAGCAATGAGGCTGAGGACACATGGTATCGTGGGTGAGAGGCTGGGCTTTGGAGGTAGACTGTTTGGGATTAAAGCTCAGCTCCACTAGGGCCTGGTCTACTGGCCTTGGGCAAGTAGCTTAACCTTGGTGCCTGTCTATTAAATGTGAGTAATAACATATCTTATTGGGTTGTTTCAAAATATTAAGCAAAATGTATATTCAAAGCTTCGAAGAGAATGCCTAATACATATTGAGAGCACAGTGAATGTTTAACTATTCCTCCTATGGTATTACTACTAGAAATTTAGCTCAGGCCCAAACAAATTTTGCTGAGCTCCAAATAAGCCAAGCTAATTGAATTTAGAGGCATATAAATATATATATATATATATATA